TCGTTGGTGTGACTAGAGTTCGAGGTGCCGCTTTTCGAGTAACGCCGCTCTGGGTTGGTGTCTTGGCCCTCGTTGGAGTTTTCGCCCTTGTCGTCGGAGTTCCTGCCCTTGATGTCCGGCCATTTACTTGCGGTCGTTTGAGAGTAGGTGAGTTCGAACGCGTCGAAGGTGTTGAATCACTGGGGCTATTCACTTTTCTCACAGAGCGTGGCAGTTTGGATGTAGATCCAGCACCCGAGGTATTAGTCGTCGGTGGCTTTCGGGAAGGGGTTTTACGAGAGACCGGAGGAACTGAAGGGGATTTCGGGATATCGCTATGTGACCGTGTATGGCCTTTTTGAGGGGCCAGGGCAGGTTGCCCGTTGTTATCGTCGCCGTTGAGGCTACGATACCAGATACTCGGGGACGAAGGCTCGGCGACATCTGGTGGATCAGATAGACTTCTTTGATGGCTAAAAGGATGGTGTAAGCTGGATTCAGATGTCCTTCTTGGGCGAACGCCCTCAATGCCATAACCAGCAGTGGGAAAATTGTGTTGCTCGGGAAGAATCTCGCCGAAAAGCAAGCCTTGGGAACGCGAAGGTGTGGGGGAGATGGAAGAAGAAGTCGGTTGTTGTGGTGGAGACTCTGGTGCCAAGTTGGACGTGGGTTTGGAGGCATTTGAGTTTCCGCTAGCAGTACTTCGCGGTTTGCCTATACGACTTGCGAAAGACTGAGAATTATTCGAGACCTGGTCCTCGGCAACATATCTTGATCTCTGGGAACGGGCTGATGAGGATGCCGTTTGATTGCTGAATGAACTTGAGCCATCACGTAAGGTCGAGTAAGGCGTTGCACCATTTCGCGGTTGTGGACTGACATCAACATCTTGCCTAATCTTAGCTGCAGCTCCCGTATGCGCCGGGGCACGGGGAATTGAGGAAGGTGCAGCACCATTCTGGTCGAAGCGCCTTTTCAGATCCCTCACACTGGGGTGAGTTCCAGTGGGTTTATAGCCAGGAAGAGCAGGCCTGTTGTCGACAGGATTTGACGTGGAACGCATATTGATCTGTGTTTGCGATATAATATGATGTGTTGGCGTTGAGCCATCACCGTTGGAGTGCAATGACGGACGCAAGGCCGAGGCACCGATAGAAAGGGACTCTTGATTATTTTGGTATGTTCCCCGATAGCTTTTGTAGAAGTCGTCGGGGTTTACGGGGGCGAAAGCATGGTGGGCGCCCGTAGAAACCGAATCGTAGTCGTCGGCGTGAGGCACAGAAGGGTGGGAATAGGTGCTATGTTGGTCGAAATGAGATGCAGGAGCGGCGGAAGGCGAATAATCGGGGAGGTGATGACGGCGGTCGTGAGATAGCTGATCGTCGAGATAGTCTTTTCTAAGGTCAGTGTCGCGGTCGATGTGACGATTGTGGTCGTTATCGTGATCGTAAGGGCGCTGATTTTTATTCTGCTGGGAGAGGTGACGAAGGTCGTGGTGAGGCTCGAGATTGGGGTTTCGAAAGCCCGAGTTTACATCCTGTACGTCCGCTTGGAGGCCCGCGTGAAGGGCCATATCCATGTCGTTATCCATGGTGGCCTGAGCATCGGTCAGGCTCGTCGAGCGGAGCGACTGGTTGGGGGACTATAGACCCATGCAGAGAGCATCGATGCGTTGGCGTTTAAGCGTTGTGCGGGCGTTGGCGTGAGGCGCACTTGATAGGTGTGAGCATAAGTACTGTAGGTGCTGTAAAGGACGGTGGAACAGAGTTGTAAATGCGCCTGAAGATGGTAGCGACCAGGGGTATGAGAGCATCAACGGCCCTCACAAGCTCACAACTCCAGGAGGGAACAACAAGATGGGGGCACCAGTCCCTGGAAGCTGAACGACGTTAGGGATGGGAGCGTCGAAAATCGGAGTGGACACTCTTGGTGGATGCTGGTGCTGGAATCAGCCGTTCCAACTCGTCGTATGCAGGCCAGCTTTCTGCTAGGGGCTTCGACGGTGAACGGGGATCCTGCCAGTCAAGAGCTTGATTAATGCAGGTTAGCCTGAAGAGTACTGTGGACGAAGCTGCATGTGCGTGCAGAAGACAATCACCTGTATCCAGGCCAGAGAGCTCAGGGCACGAACAGCACAGAGCAAGCGGGTCGTATGAGGCTCGAAGCTGGATGATCCCTGGGAAAGGGAGAAATAGGGGTCTATAGACGGAATCACTTTCTTGAGATGGCCAAACTACACAATAAAATGAGGCAGGGCGAAAGGTCAGTGGAAGAGAGGCACGGGGACGAAACAATACCAAGATATTTTACGTGGAAGCAGTGGGATGAAAGACGCGATCTTTTGAAGGATAGATAAATCTGGACGGAAAACTTACTATTATCCTTGTTGTCGGGTACGATATCAAGTGAAAGCAAAGTTACCGTTCAATAAACCTCTAGCGTTGAAGTGGGATTTGGACTGGGGAGTGCCCACAGATGGGGCGGTACCTTCCTCAGTGGGGCACATCCGTTGAAGTTGGAGGGCAAACAACGGCGGCGCTTTTGGTTGGATTCTGAGGCACATCAATCACATCAAGAGAATACTTCATAAACAGTGCACGACGGCTCTCAACCTCAAGTACCGTCGACAACACCTCCACATTTCATGTGCATGCATTTGGCATTTCCGTACCTACAGCCGCAGAACAGGTAGCTTCGAACAATGGACCGTCGACGGAGGGCCGCCTGTTGTGGCCAGCCTAAGAAAACTTAGATAGGTCCAGTGCAGGGCGAAGGACCAATAGACCAACACATAAAAATCGTGGTCGTTCCAGTAAGGCGTCGACTGTTTCACGTCAATTCGACACATGGAAGCGTATAACATGCACTGGGGAGTATATAGCCTATCTATTGCTGTGCAGTTACGCTTGTTGGACCAAGTTCAAAGTCGGAGGTATTCCTTTGCCCAGTGAAGTGAGAATATGGTGTGTGGTTGACTTGTGACGCTCCTAAGATACAATGTTTCTCCCCTGCATCAATTCCCGAGTCTTGCGATAACCTTACCCATGTCCCAAACTGGAGCTTTGAGACCATCTGTTTCCTAACGGATAGTTGCAACATTGGTCTTAAAACACGAGAATGACTAGCAAAGCATTTTGCACTTTCTATGACCATCAACAAACCTCAAGAAAATCAAAGGCCCTGTCTATCCTCCCCTTGAAGCGTCAGGGGTTCATTACGATCCAATCCATGATGGCATTGTGACTGGTCTCGTAACCTACGAACCGTTTCGTGTGGCAGCCGTTTCAGCAGCCTCAATTCCACCCGCTTAGACAAAATCACAGAGTCAGTTCGTCTACGGATGCAGGCTCACCAGCCCATTGATTTACTTGAGTTGTGATAACCGCCGAAGAATTGATGCTAGAAAAACAGCAAGTTTAGCATTCATATTGCAGCATATTGGGCGTATGGCTCACCAATCTTTTGCACCGATTGCCATCCGCCTATGTTAAAATCAGGGAACCCCGCCCGAGATCTGGTCGCGATGACTCGACTATTATTACTATGTAGTAGGAACAAATGGCGACTGCCCATATTCACCCCATGGCTACTCCATTCCCCAACCAGTCTTTCTTCCCCCGACGTTATGCATCTCCTTTCTCGCCTCTGCCTCTCTTTCATTCTCTTGCATCTCAGTCACACCTCAGATTCTCGTACGCAGGAGTAAATTGACCGTTCATAGGTGGAATATTGCTCCAAGGTGGCTTATTTTGTCGCTCTGTGTTCTGGGAACTGCGCTTTGAAGGATAAACATACTTAAACTGCGCGTTCCTACGCACAGTGGGCTCTGAGAAACCAATGACAATCTAAGCCACTTACATTTTATGCCAGTTCCTTGCCAGATTCCATTGTTGGTGTATTCTGTGCCTGGAACTTTCTGCCCTTGTCTTACTCATGCCTTCATGGACATTGAATTGAAGGTGGCCTAGTCGTGCTTTTATTTTATGTTTATAGCTTGTCCTGAGTGCTATGAGAGGACTGATGAGTCTACCAATTACAATTACTCCTGTTCCTGGTCTCGTTGACCCCTGAGTTTATGTTCTAGGATCTTCGACTGATCGGGAGACATCGGTGCAACACTTTGATCTGGCTTTTGTGGGTTCTGCTGGTTCTCTGTCAGTGGAGGCTGAGAAAGCAAAGTACTGTAGTCTATCCATTGCCAAGGGCACAGTTTGTTTGAAGTTACTTTCTATTTCCGAAGTCGTGTTTCGAGAGTACGATTCTCTCAAATCGTCTCTCAAATCGTTTATTCGATTCCCAAGACTTCATTCCAGCGGCAGATCCGGGGCTTCATATCCATTAGTTATCCGAGCTGATCACTCTTGAAGCCAGATAACAGTTGTCAGAGTTACACAAAGAAGATTGCACAGACGCACAGGTTCCCTCCGTGCTCCCCGTTCCTACGTTGTGATACTACGTGTAATGGTGTGCGGACTGCTTACAACGCTTCTTTAGCGATCATATCAATTTCATCTGGAACCCCAGCGTTTTTTTAGGCAGACAAACTCAAGCCACCACACCGGAAACACGATCTATCGCAGCAAGTATAATTCTATGCTTGCAGTCGCTTCCGCGGATGTGTAAGGCTCGCGTTTCTTGCCCTCCTTGAGGAGTAGGAGATTACTTTCATGTTACCTAGCAGCACTTGATGTGTCTGATACCAACCACACTTCCCTAGCTGAGATAAAAGCAAGCCCATAATCATCGGACTATAACTAGCAATAGAACATGGGCTATTAAAACCCTTCTTTTCCTACGATTGTATCGAATGAAGTCCATCACCTGAATCTTCGGTAATGATCAGTGGCTAATTCTTGATAACGCTCGGTTGAGGGGCTGGTCGCTTGCCCCTGGAGCCGGCCTTACACTAAAATCACACTAACCCCATAGGGATAAGCTCCCGCTCCCACATCGGGCAAGGATCAGCCACATTGCATCAAATGAACGTCCGAAACTCTGTGGCTCATGGAATTCCACCTTAGCTCGAATAATTACACAAGTTATCACCGACAAACACGGCCGCTTCACAACCATTAAATTAAAAAAGAAATGGAAAATCAGAGAAAGCGAAAGCCGGAGACTGTTGTCGCGTCGGTACACCAAAAGCGAGTCAAATTACTCAGTGGAATGCCCGTGAGGCGCGACCTCCTGGAACGTCATTATGGCAGGGTCACCTCGTTAAGAGAATATGTCCTGTCCAAGTTGCCTCGAGGATCTCGACTCCGACGGAAGAAGGTTGCATCCATCAGTGAAGCAGATGATGCTGGAGAGAATGAAAAGACTTTATCACGACTCCTTGATACATCAATTGTTTGTTTTGCCCATCAAGAAGCCGACAACGACGATACGAGATGGGAGCAATGGTTAGCATTCTCACAGAGAGAGGACGAGTCTTATGTCAGTCTTTCCGATGGTATTGCTGGATCGATTTTCTCCCAAAATGAGGTTAGTGTAGCCTCTCTATTTGTATGGCAAACCGCTTATAGTCATATAGATTGTAGATTTTGTTGTATGGCGTCTCTTCTTCAGGGATGTGCAAGCCGGACGACGACCCAAGCACCTATTGTGTGACGGGTTTAGGAAATCAGCCGGACCAGATGACCAAGGAACTACCACTATTCCTGGCCTCTTCAGCCTCTTTCCCAACTCTAACGTTCAGGCGCTTAGGGAAGACCCTTGGCCACAATTGTTGGCCCTTCTTGGCAGAGCTGGAGAGAAAATCATGATCAATCTCCTTGTTGATACCTCTATATATCTAGCAGTTGAAGCAGGTTTCAACAATTATCATCAACTGACAGGTAAAACATCAAAACACTGAGCGTACAAATCTGACCGTTCTAGGTGTACCACTTGCAGAGTTTGACCTTCATGGACGCAGTTTGTCACAGGTTAAAGGATCTAAGAGCGAAGCACGCAAGCCTATAGACATAACTCTGGTGAGAAGCAGGATATTCTATGCTAAGCCATCTCTCACGGCAAAAGGACTCGTTCAGCCGGGCTATAAACACATTCGTAAGTGTAGAAAAGGCATACGATCAAACACCATATTGATAGTTCTCAGACGTGTTGAACCGGTACACTAGCGCTCCCATGCATAACGATCTAGAGCTTGAGCGCCAAGGTACGATCAAGGTGATGATGTATATATTTCCTCGGCAATTCGGCCTTCACAACGTCTTTACTTCTCAGGTTGATCCCACTGTAACCTCGCAGAAGTTCCAAGACTACACATTGAGAGAAGAAGAGATTGCTCCCGCCTTTCGAACAAAAGCAGGAGATACTGCGTCGCGAATGCCAAAAATACCCAAGCGGCTTCGTGGATATACTGAGCGACTTGTGAAACGCTTGAAAGTTCTCCACGGCCGCTGTTCATATATCGAGCTTTTGAAGCACCACTGCCCCTGCACTTTTGACAGACCATCGCGAACCAGGAAGCCGAGGACTAGGAAGGGTCCCATATCATCTCGAAAGTTTAGGCCATCACAACGCCCGACAACGGTTTCATGCTATAAGTATACCCCATCCCAGAAGCATTCCGAGTTAGGGCTATCGAGCACGCAAGCGCCAGCACTCCCAGATCACGAATCCCTGGTAGAGCTAGCCACCCCGTCATCTCAGGTCTCATCGTTTTGCCAAGCCGTCTTGTCCAAGATTATCCCCAGAGATTTCTGGGGGATGATGCCGTACAGAAACACAACAAATCCACTATCATGCGAAGTGTCGATAGCTTCATCAGGCTCAGGCGCTTTGAAACCATGTCACTGCATGAAATAACACAGAATATGAAGGTCAGTGTCCGATAGTACCAAAGCTTGACTATGGCTAATCATATATTAGATCGCAAACATCTCTTGGCTTCAGTCGCCAGTTCTGGGTGACCAAAAACCAAGCAAAACTGAGACTGCAAAGCGCCTGGAGATTTTTCATGAATTTATCTATTTCGTTTTTGATTCTCTCTTAATGCCCCTGATCCGCAACACCTTTTATGTCACCGAGTCCAACACTCATCGATACCAAGTTTTCTATTTTCGCCATGAAGTTTGGAGACAAATTGCAGAGCCAGCAATGATGGAATTAAAGGTAGATATGTTTGAAGAGGTCAAGTTGGATGACGCGCTGCAGGTATTGCGTTCTCGGAAGCTCGGCTTTAGCCAAGTTCGACTCCTTCCAAAAGGCAACAAACTTCGTCCCATTATGAATCTCCGGCGGAGAGCTATGACCAGGGGACCTCTAAGCAAGCTTGGACGTAGCATAAATACTATCTTAGGTCCCGTACATTCGTTGTTGAAGTTAGAGAAGGTATGTGTTGGTGACAGACATTTGGGGGCTGGAGCTGACTTGAAACTCAGAGGATCAACCCGTCCAAATTGGGTTCCACTATGTTCTCCGTCAGCGATATTTATACCCGACTGAAGCTTTTCAAGCAATCTCTGGGCCCCGAATATGGTAAATTGTACTTTGTCAAGGCTGATGTCAAGGCTGCTTTCGATACCATCCCACAAGAGGCAGTTCTCAATTTGATGAAGTCCGTGCCAAGCCAATCGAAATATACCATCATGAAACACGCAGAAGTGAAGCCTGGCGAACGAGCAGTGGTAGCTGACGACAAGTCTTCGTCCAGAGCTATCCGCCGATGGCATGCAACAGCCTTGAGCGAGAAGGAGAACCCAGATTTCATCACACGGCTTGAGCAGGGCCTGGCTTCCAAGAAGAAAAATACTGTCTTTGTGGGCAGCGCTTTACGCAGTACTCAAAACGTTGGAGAACTGATGCATCTTCTCAGGCAACATGTCGAGCATAATCTGGTCAAGGTTGGAAAGAAATACTACAGACAGAAAGTCGGAATCCCTCAAGGCTCTGTGCTGTCCTCATTCTTATGCAATTATTTCTATGCTGACCTGGAAGTTAAACATTTGGACTTCCTTCGTTCGCCAGACTGCCTACTCTTACGCCTCATTGATGATTTTCTTCTAGTCACTCTAGATCAGGAGAAGGCGATCAAGTTTGTCAATGCCATGCATCTTGGGTTTCCTGAGTATGGCGTTGCAGTCAACCCGACCAAGACCATGGTCAACTTTGACATGCTATATGATGGCGAGCCCGTGCAGAAGTCTAATCATGAGAAAGGCTTCCCCTACTGCGGAACTACCATAAACTGCAGGACGCTTGCTATCACCAAGGATAGGGATCGAGATGCAAATATTGGTACACCCCAGAGTCCTGCTTCTAGTACAATCCAAAACCGTTACTTACACCCAGATAGATGTATCTGCTTCTCTCACCGTCGACTTCGGCCGAACACCTGGTCAGAACTTTCAACGAAAAGTTTTAAGTTAGTCTGCTGTACCGCACGAACCTAAAGATTTGCTAACCAAGGCTCCTATGACCGTTCAGATGCTTTCAAGATCCAATCTCACCTGATGTTTTATGACACGTCTCACAATTCGAACCGAACCGTTCTCAACTCACTTCAAAGTACTTTTGTTGAGACTGCGAGTAAAATGTGGGCTTACCTGCGTTGCCTTGGAAAGACACAGCAACCGAGTAGTGAAATGATACTTCGTAAGTCACTTAACCTCATAATGTGGCAGATTTAATTGACCGATCTTCTCAAGGAACTATTGCTAAAGTGATCGACGTCGCCTTCCTGCTTTTGACTAGTAAATCTCGGGCGATGAGATATCCCCAATACATCTGCAACGTGCGAAAATCGCAAGTTGCTCTGTAAGTATTTTCCGCCGTGCCGTTTCTCAGTAGTATCCTAACAGTGGAAGGAATGCCTGCCTTGCTTTTGAGAAGGTATTGGCAGCGAAGCAGAGCAACTATCGGCCTGTTGTGAAGTGGCTCCGTAAAGAAGCTGATAGGCTTGCCTCGGGCCAAAAATACGAGCTTCTGCGAGTTTCTTGAGCAGGACAAAGAGTAAATTTAAATAGATTGGCCAAACAATGTATCTCTAATAACTTGGTCTCCTCTATGCACGTGGAACTAGTCTAGAATATATATGCCAATCGACTTCAACCCTTGATTTACCAAACATGGGGCGCACCCGATAACGCATTTCCAATACATCAACACTTTCCAGCGTCAAAGCTGTATACCACTTTTCCACCAGTACTTATCCGAATGCCAGATTGGGAACATATACCTCCTCCATCGCCACCAATGATCGTCTGGGTGACCGAAACCAAGCCAGCGCAGAGGGGAAATAGGCACAGGTTCCAGAAGCCAAATACCCGAAGATGAAATATCGTCAGTAAAGAAAAATGCGGTGAGACAGAGCCATCCCAAAGTGAATACCGCATTGAATGTCTGCCGGAGCCTTTGATGGATACTGGGGAAATGCTTGTCCAAAGTCTGGAGCAAAAGAAGCTGTAGGATAATGCCAGGAGGCTGCAGGACAAAGAAGAGGGGACTTCTCCAGGGTTTTGTGCTTGGCATAGACGACATACTTCCACCAGCGTGGAGTAAACCGGACTGTATAAAAGATAAACACATGGTAACAATTTGAGCACGTAGTGTTCCCCTTTGAATATAGCCATGGTCAGCGAGGAACTTGGCGGGCGCAACAAACTGGAGACGAAAGGTTTGATGCCAGAACGCCCCCCACCAACCAGCAAGACCTCTATCAAGCACCTGCGAGATAGGACCGAAGATGTTGGTGTACTGCCATAACTCTCTTCGTATGGGATAAAAGTAGGAGAAAACGTAGAACTGAAAAAGGTCATGCAAGCTAAAAATGGCATCGATGGCAGCATAGATGCCAACAAGACAAAGCAGCTCGCGATAGACAAAACGTAACCACGGAGGAAGCCGCTGAAGGAATAAAGGAAGCTCAAGTCCTTGATCGGGGCCATAGGCACAGTAGGGATCCTTGACCATCGCCACAGAGCAAAAGTCCAAGAGAAAAGTGAGGAGGAGGACTCTGCGAACACGGCTCCAGACAAACTCCCTCTCGGTCAAGTTACGATAGTAGCCGCTTCTAGACACCATGGGCATGTTATCGAAGGACACAAGATCCCCATCGTGAATATTGCTTGGGATATCTGGTCTAGGTACGGAAGAGATAGAACAGTTCCAGCCTGGAGAAAAAGCTTAGCCAGAAACCTCCTTATAAGTGCTAAATAATCATCCCAAACTTACCAATCTCCCTAAAGTTTGTAGCAAGGTCAAGTGTCCAGTTAAGCCGTTCGCCGAACGATCGGTTTTCAGGGAATTTCTGCCATACGTAAACCACATCTTTGGACCTCCCATTCTTAGCATGGGTTTCTATGTCTTCTGAAACTGCAATGACTTCGTGATAAGATTTTCGCTGTCGAACAATGCTTTCTTCGCTTGATCCATTAGCAGCATCGTTGGACACCCGTTTTGATGATGTTTGCGACTTGTTGCTCTTGGGAATCTTGACAACTCTGGCATAGTCGAGTTGCGGATTGGTCCAAACTAAGAGATTCAGAGTTGCCAAGATACCCCATCCGCCCATGAGACCTGACGCATATGCTGGAGCGACGTTGTAGCTAGACATATTTCGAATCATATAGGCGTCGAACGCAACCACAAAAGCGACAACAAGCCATCGTGCGTGGTAAAGCCATGGTCGATTTCGATGCGGGATCGCCAAATAGACAATAGGCAAAAGGAAGGGACCAATAAGGCAGAAAGGAAGAACAAGGGGTTCTCGGATCCCTTTAGCAACTTCTGTATCGAATAACGCCTTGTACTCGGCGCGGGCGATATTGCCAAGATTGGCTATGGGAGTGGCTGTCATTGTGCCGACAACTTCGGAGGGTTATGCAGGGCCTAAGCTGATTGCTCTCAGTTGCAGGACTTTTCGGCAAGCTCGCTTCTCGTAGGGTTGTATTGTCGTCTACGACTCTATCATGACGCAAGCTGGTTGGCGGCAACAGGCTCTACTAAAGAGTCCGACGAGCAATAAATACAGCAAAGAATTTGTTCGGAACGAGTCCCTGGGTTTGAAGAAAGAAAAGGAGCTTGGTCTGTAATTGCACCCTTGGAAGTTATCGCTTCTTCATGATACATAAACAGATAACACCAATCAAAGGGTCATGGATCTGAACCAAAATAGTATTTTGGTGGTGATGAAGCTGTGGGGAACTATTTTTCTGGACCAAGTAAGAAGATCCTATCTCCATAGACGCGTGAACAGAGCCTCGGAAACTGGGTCACACGGTACTAGTCGAGGAGCGCACGAGGACACAGAGGCTTGATATGTGCAGCTACGTCTCTTTCAGTGGGCTAATGAATTACTTTTTGTTGAGTCGACGTGTCCTTGCTGACGTTGGACAGAGGTTCATGTTGCTACAGTCCCGAGAATCCCATACCGAAAACACAAGAGGCACTATAATCACTTACCTAGTAGCTTGATAGGTATTATCAGTGATAAGGCTTAGTCGCCAATTGCCGTCATTAGATAAAAACACATGCACTTGCTAGTGGCGGTTATTGAGAGTCATCTGGCCACTAAGGTCTAGGGGGTACTGAAGTGATCAATGATTAGAATATTTACTTCTTAGCTGCTATGATACAACTACTATTGAATCTTCTAGTATTCGCCCTGGCCCATATTCCATAGGTAACTAGCTAAGGTCAGTAATACTAGATAACAGGGACGCAAATTTCACGACAGCCCACTTATTAAATACTATGTAGATGCATTGTCGGTCTCTGGAGTGGTAATCGAACTGGGTAGTTTGTAGCTACCTACCTAATGAGGGTGGTGTCTCAACATTAGTCAGATTCGTGGTTAGGTAGGTAGTTAGCCAAGACTCATGCTGACTGCGACATCTGAATATTGTTCCATATCACAATCTGTTGCTATATCGAATATTGTTTCATACAGTGAGAGTTCGCTTAAATACGAGATCCAACACTGACCTTGGGGAGGAAAATGGCGCCAACTGCAGCTGCCGATGGAGTTACAAAGCATAGAGCGTGTGACGAATGCCGTGAGTGCCTCATCATGTGTCCGACTCGGAGACTTATCGGTCATTAGGATCCCGAAAACTCGCATGCTCCAAAGAACCCGAGGGCTGTGCTCGCTGTAGGAGGGAGGGAATATTATGTTACTATTCTCCGCAGAAGCAAATGGGCCGTCCCCGAAAGAGGCGGCATGTGGATGTGGACGATGAAGCTATTCTGCCAGCACCAACCATTTCCCAGCCGCTAGGGGAAGCTCTACCTTTTCTCCAGCCAGATGATAATATCTCCTATGAGCACCTGAATCAAACGCAACCTAACGGAGATTTCCTTCTGGATCTCAACTTCTTAGACGAGCCAGTTAATGCAAACGCCGATACATGGGACTTGCAATCTAGTCATGACACGTTTTCTTTCAACCCCCAGATCGTGGAACCCGAATGCTTGCTCGTTGACAATGCGACATTACCTACATTGGATCTGAGTGGTGTTGACCTCCTTGGCAGTATCAACTTTGGCGAGACAGACGCTCCGCAAGAGACTGTTTCGAAGGATCTCAGTAACACACTGCAGCAATACCTAGTAGATCAGATGGAATCCCCAAACCCAGGATTACAACAGAACTCGGACACACCGACACCACCTGCTTCCAGCGAAAACGGTGCCTCTGTTGAATCCACTGAAAATGCAATTAGAACACCGACACCCTCGATGCGATCTGTCCCTACAGTATCCTGTGGCTGTTTGTCATCACTTTATTTAACTCTTGAGTCCCTTGGAAATCTGCCGGCTGAGGTCATACCGGCCATGAAAGTCGCACGGAATGCATCCAAGGTCGCTCACGAAGTTATCAGGTGTACTGTCTGTTCTGCATCTTTGCTTGACGAACCTACCAAGCCCCCTCCCATACAATCGTTCCAGAATCTCATGCTTCTTGGCGCTCTTGTACCATCTGCATGCAATGCCTACGCAAGAATTCTAGAAATGGTAGATGAAGAGACTGCTCTCGCCAAGTTGCAGGGACGCACCTTTTGGTTCTCGTTTAAAGAAATCGGTGGGCTCTGGGGTTGCATTGGGGGTACGCCTAAGGGCTGCACGACTTATCAAAGCTACAACAACAAGAACATGCCTCCCGATATGTGGAGAATGACAATCAGAGGGCTGCTTCGCCTCGATGTCTACGGGTTAGATGAGAAGGACCAGGAGATGCCAGGCGCGATGACCTATCGACAACTTGGGCTCAAAGATGTCGTTGGGCAGCTTGAGGAAAGAAGCAAAAAGCGACATGATGCTCTTGACGCACTTCATGCTGCTGGGCACGCACATGAAGCTGCCTGTGGAGTTATTTACCCGACCAAGCCTTGTTCGCCCGCAGAGCGCAATTGCACCAAAGTCCTCGAAACGGCACGTATTGCGCTGGAAAATCTAGTTATTGCGTAGGTATAATATACGCGGAAACGCCCAGAAGTTTTGTTGGGGGCATAACGAGTCAAAAATACAAAAATCACGAAAGACCTGGACGATGAAGTATTTGTAACTTCAAGTGAGGGCTGGTGTTCCGGAAGTTTGTATCTGAGTTGTCAGAACGATCCAATGCGCCGTTCTATTTGATTGCGGAAACTTATCATTTTAATCGGGGGAACTATCTCGGCATATGTTGATAACATGACCATGGTCTGTTAAGATTCAAGACCGTATAGCCTCGTAACAAGACTCAGGAGTGGCATCTATGGTAAATCAGGAACTGTCGAGTTAATGCAAGGCAAATAGTCATCACCGAGTTGATCACGATGCACAACAGGCTTGGCCAGTTGGACCATTCGCATTGAACCATTCATCATTCTCTCATGAGATACTACCCAACCTATGCTCTATGTCCAGGTTCCCTCCAAGCTAAATAAGAAGGCCTTATCAATACTCAAGCTGCCGCCAACTAGATGCCTAATAACCAACGCCTTTCATGCATACTAAAATCTTGAAAAAAAAAGAAGAAAAAAAAAGAAGAAAAAAAATGCAAGACATCGCCTGAAAAGGCTTTCCAATTTCTTCATGCGGAAAAATGAAAATTGTGGTAGAAAGGTGTCCCAAATCAGACTTGTTCTTGGTCCTCAACCATGCCAAGAATATCGAGCTCGGCACGAACAAGGCTCTCAAATTCCTGACGATCAATACCCGAAGCACGTGAAAGCATGAACAGGCTTCGAATACTGCGCGATACATGCTGCTTGACGCCAAATTCATTTTGTGTTTGTTTGCCGGCAGAGGCCTCAAGCTTAGCAACTGTTTCCGAGCCGTTGGAACTGGCGCTTGAGGCTGGGCGTGGATGAAGGAGAGCGGCGTGGCGCTCGGTATCATCTCCGTTTTGTGTCGGGCTTGAATCACTCTTCTCGATCTCAGCCAATGTCCAAGTGCCCTGCGTCTCATTAAGCTCTGTGGCTTCGGCAGATTCTTGGGTACGCCCGAGTCCAAGTGGTGGAGCAATTTGCGCAGCAGCCTCTTCCTCATCCGGATCATGGTTATCCATAGCAGGCTGAACACTGTCATATTGAGCAAAATATGCGTCCTCTGCTGAAGATGCACGGACACCACCAATCTGAGAAGTAGATTTTGAAGGAGGTGCAGGTGATTGTTTCTGCGCTGGTGTCCGGGATGGGGTCGCATCGTACCGTGCCCAATAATCATCGTCGTCGTCCTCTTCATCTTCGTGACCACTATGGGGGACATGCAAGCTATTGCCGTGGCCGTTGGTGTCTTTGGCTTGGTTAGTCACCTTCTTCGCCTGTGTTTCTCTGAACTGCCGCTCGGCCTCTGCGATGCTGGATGCTCCCCCAAATTGCAAGAAAGGCGAGGGTTTGTCTGCGATAGTGACCTCGCCAACCCTCCAGCCATCGCCTCCGCCCTCAACGTCCCCAACGCAGTAGATCAACTGGAAGGCCAAACCCAGGGTGGAGAGCGCAACGAGAGCCTGCAGAGTCTCTTCGTCGACCCGACGAAAGCGCACCTCGGCGTCATAATCCCAGTCGACCTCGACCTCACCCGATACCGGGTGTGGCTCAAGACTACCACCTTGGGCGATCTGAACCAGCTCAGGTATTTTTGCCTTGTCGTAGCACAGAAGTCGAATCCATGGCTCAGTGCTTGACGTAGATAGAAGCTTGACTCGCTGACGCAGTATGGGGGACAAAAGTGGTAGAATACCGATCGCAGGCTCGGTAGAGATAGCAGATGGCGGGAGAGCAGGAAGAAACGGCGCAAGAAGCTGTGTTGTGTCTGGCGAAGGAAGTTGTGTGGTGGTCATTGTCAAGGTCAGGTTGCGCGCGGCGCGGCGGGACGAGGTGTCGTTATTGTGGCCTCGTTCTACACAGTGACAGATGTATGCGAAATCGACCGAGTTGAGGATATCGTGGGTGGATTGTGTAAAGGATGTAATTTTATGTGTGACTGGAGTAGTCTTGTTCGCTAAAATCGAGGACCTGGAGGGTGGATTGTCAAGACGGAAAGAGGGAGAACAGTGTCAAGCGCTATGAGATGAAGTATATTAGGAGAGGTTCTCTGAAAATCTGGTAGTATGAGAAAAGTGAGATTAAAGTGGGAGGGTTGGTAAAAAATATAAGAGCTGGGAAAGCATGTGGGCATCCGGCAAGAGGTGTCGGCGGTGCGGCACGAGGTATCAAAGAGGCAAGTGACGTGCCATACCCATGCGTGCTTCCCTCCGAGAGAGGTCTCGGATGTCTCCAAGCTTTGTTCTGAGGCTGCAGTTTCAAGCGGCCTTAGCCAATGACGGCATCAGAGAGTAGCTTGAGGAGAAGGGTCTCGGCCGGAGCAATGGAGACTAGGCGCCTGGGGTTCTTGGAGAGGCTCTTTTTGCCTGGGAAGCAGTTCGTGGTGTGGAGACGGAAACCCCACGTTTTATACCTAGTCGAAATAACGTTGTTGCAGTCATGATTGTTATTGGAGAACAAGATATTGTGAATACCTACTGGCCCTTGCAGCTTGTCTATGAACAACTTTACGATCTCTTCTATGATCATATCTCGTCAAGCAAATACTCTATGGGCTTTTATATGGCATAGAGCCTTGCACATATATACCGGTATCAACACGCGGAACGTCAGGGTGACATTGTCGAACTTCTGCTTGGTTGGTTCCAGCGGCCCGAGCTGTGGAACCTGGCCGGACCCCTGAGGCTATCGTTTATGTTCCGGGCAGATCCCCTTCGGTTCGGTTGATAAATTCCTCGTCCATCGGTACAAGAGACCCCGAGGCTGGTTGGTACTATGGTAGATTGTATATATCTTCGCACAGTCTCAGATATATCTCCCGCAAGGGGAATATTTCGTGTCTCCCTCACCAGTGTCAGGAGCCATCGATGGAATGACTGAATCGCGAGCATAAGGATGGATTTGTCTCTACCGTTAACAACCGTCGCAAACCGCTTTCGACATTAGGGAATCATGCCGTCACACAAAAAATTCCATCGTGAGTTTGAAGGCGGCCAAGGGTAAAATTTAGCCAATCTGAGCACGGATTTCATTTCCCGTGATACCTAAGAAGGACGACTCAACCAATACCCTGTCGTTGAAGAAAGCTCTAGAGCACTTTCGATACAAACAAGTTCCATCACAATCTTCGAAGGACACAATTGGCGACAATTTGCAAAATCGCAGCCCTTATTTATCTACTAATCCTGCCAGGGGCATCTATCTCCGCCAAAGTTGCATTGTTTTACCTTATCAGCCACTTGGCTCATAACCTCGAACGAATTCGCTTTGCGCTCAACTGTACATCCTCAACATCGTCGATTTCTGCATTCTTGAACTACAATCTCCCGGCCAGGTCGTCGCGAAGTCCGTTCGAGATATCAAGCTCTTCTTCTGCCTGTGGTCCTTCAGGGCTGAAGCTGAATGCATGTCGCACAAAGAAGGGCACCTCAAGGATGAGGTAAGATGCCAGTTCTCAACCACTTGGGTGCCGGCTTACAATTGGAACTAGGGCTCGAGAGTCCAAGTCGTAGCTGCGGGAGCAATAGCAGGTTTGGTTTCTAGGTACATTCCTTATCTCCAGCCCTCTTTGAACAATGGTAGCGAGTACTAATACTATCTGACTAGATTCGTTGTTGCTCCCCTCGATGTCGTCAAGATCCGTCTCCAACTCCAGCCTCATTCTCTATCCGATCCTGTAGCAGCTTTGCGCAACGCACCTGCTTATCGAGGGGCATTCGCGACCCTGAAACACATCCTCAAGCATGAAGGTCTGACAGGCCTGTGGAAGGGCAATGTTCCTGCAGAGCTTATGTACGTATGCTATGGTGCGGTGCAATTCACAACATACCGCTCGACGACCCTTTTCCTCCGAACGGCTTTTCCCACAAGGTTGCCCGATGCTGCCGAAAGTTTTATTGCTGGTGCTGCCTCTGGTGCTGCTGCCACAACCATCACATACCCTCTCGATTTATTAAGAACACGATTCGCAGCTCAGGGTCGACACCGTGTCTACCAATCACTCCGCGGTGCCGTCTGGGATATAAAGCGCGATGAGGGTTGGCGAGGCTTTTTTAGAGGCATTGGGCCTGGACTCGGCCAAATCATACCCTTTATGGGTATCTTTTTCGTTACTTATGAGTCCCTTAGAACGTCTTTAGAGGGGTTTCACATGCCATGGGGCAGCGGAGATGCTACTGCTGGCATGTGTGCCAGCATTATATCCAAAACAGCTGTATTCCCTCTTGATCTTGTGCGAAAGCGTATTCAGGTGCAGGGACCAGCGCGACGGCAATACGTCTACCAAAACATTCCCGAATACGCCACGGCACGGGGCGCACTTGTATCGATATTACGCACAGAGGGTTTCCGTGGTTTGTACAAGGGCCTGACTGTCAGTCTTCTCAAATCGGCTCCTGCTAGCGCTGTCACTCTCTGGACATATGAACAGAGCTTGAATTTGATGCTTGATTGGGACTCAGGCAGTAAGGAGACCATCCCCAATGAATTATAGACTATAACAAAACCTGATAGATTCGTCATGACGCGATAAATCGTCAAATTGTCTAATACTACTTGCGCAGTTTTTATTCTACAACAGTCTCTTGACTCTTCTCTAAAAACTACTTCGCAAGCGCAAGCGCAGCATTTTTTGCGTCTGCTCGCTCAATGCACTCTTCGATAACCTGCCAGAACTTGGAAGTGTCGACTCCACGAGGAATTCTGACACCTTGTTCACCTGGCGGAAGCAGCTTGGCCAATGTGCGACCGGTCTGCTTACCCTCCTTAGCCTCTTCAAAAGTGCCCTCGGTTATGACTGTGACTTCGAAGCGCTCGTTGTGCTTGGGGGGCTGGCTGTGCTTGGCGTCCCATTCGAAGAATGGAATCTCACTTTCCGTGCCGATAAGTACGGCAGCAACAGCAATAGGATCATGCAGAGGGGGGCCAGCGGTAATACCGAAGGTGTCACTAAAATGTTAGTCGCGAGGGCGCATGCCATTGTTTGTGTTGACTTACGCATATGTTTGAGCAAAGAAGTAGAGGAGCTCAACAAGCATGATGCGGAGAGTTGTCTTTCCGGGACCTGTCCGCTCAGCATCGGGGCCATACAAAAGCATCTCCCTCACCTCCGATGTAGCTAACACCTGATGGCTGAGATCGAGGGGCACAATCGTAGTTTTGGCAGCGATCTCTTTGGTATGGAAGACCGTAGCAGCAGCTTCTGGGTCTACGAGGATGTTGAACTCAGCCCAAGGCGTGTAGTTTCCGATCCTGGGGTGACCGTCAACTTCACCGAGCGGTGCATCTGAGAAATTGTCGCCAATAGAGCCTCCCATAAGACTGACACCTTTGATGTGACTAATAAGTTCCGGATACGCGCGGAGCAGAGCTCCAACGTTGGTCAGCGCACCCGTTGCAACGATCCACGCTGTGCCAGGGGGTTGAGCACGCAGGGCCTCCGCCATCGCCTCGACAGCTGGGATGGTAGAGGGGGTTACGAGTGGCTTAGGAAGCAGGTCGGTGCCATCTAAGCCAGAAACACCGTGGATGTCTGTTGGTGCATGAAGGGCAGGACGTTCGAGAGCTTTACCCAGGCCTATGTACAGAGGAATATCATGCATACCAATGGCGGTGAGGATGGAAGCAGCATTGTGTGTAGTGTTTCTGGGCAGATGTTAACAAATTGCATTCAATGCCATGGTTGTAAAGCCAAGACTGTTTTAAACAACATACTCAAGAGATGCATTGCCAAAGACCGTTGAGACACCGAGCAGTCTGATCTGCGGGTGATAAGCTGCCAGGAGAATAGCGAAAGCGTCCTATTCAGAAATTCAGTATTGCTGAGCGCCATTATGAGATGTAAAGAGCAAAGAAGACATTCAAAACATAAGCATCACTCGAGTCCCGTAACAGAACTAAGAAGTTGTATGAGATCAAGGCTATAAGCACCGCTTTTGTTTACACGTACATCATGACCTGGATCACAGTCCAGCCAAACAGGAACCTGAGCTTCAGACATGATAGAATAGGTAGATAAAAGTAATGGTATAAAGAAAAGACCAAGCTTCAGCCTCAATGCAAGAAAGGATAAAGTAACAGATAGGGCGAGAAGGGTACAATGTTCACTTGACCAACTGCGGTAAATACGATACTGTAGGTGAGTTGTTGAAGTTGTGATGTTTCCACAGACCAAGAGACACTTTTACTAGGTAGGTAGACTCTGAAACAGTTGGGCTTACCTACGGTACGTTGTGGTGGGGTATTTCCCCCTCACTTTGCTGGTTCTTAGACCGTTACCGAGCAAACCTGACTAAACTAACAACTTGGCGCGAGCTAACAAGGTCAAACAGCTTCCTCTTAAAGCAGGTGGGTACGATTGAGGAGGCAATTGACAGATCTTTTGTTTCTTCGACAAGTGTGACTTGAAAAGTTGAACAAATATTATGTTATACGATCCTAGTACCTGGGGTATCAAGCCTCGGCTTTGTGCCGAATGTGTTTCATGATAAGTATCCTAGCGAAGAACCTCATGCCGTTCTATCATGACTTCTTGCGCGCTTCCATGACCCGCAATACATCAGCAGCATTATTAGCATCACCCTTTCTCTTCTTTGGGCCTCGCTTTCGTTTTGATTGCCCTCCTTTTGATTGCCCCTCACCGTCGTCATCTTTGTCTCCCCAATTAGAAAGCTTGACTTTACTGTCGTCAAAATCTTCTTCGTCGGCAAACCGACTAGTACCGAAGCCCATATCGAGATCTTCATCATCGCGATCCGCCATTTGTAGAAGCCTCCTCCTTCTTTCCTCCATCGCTTCC